AAAAAATGAAAAAAAAAAACTGACCCCAAACTTTTGACCGGTTGTGTATATTGTCATGACTTTTTATGATGTCATGTTTTTACAGTGCCTGTTATAAAAGGGGCAACACGGTGGCTCAGTGGTTAGCTGAGTAGGTCAAGAAGGTTGCTGGTTCAAGTCCCAGCTGGGCCAGTGGGCATTTCTGTGTGAAGTTTGCATGTTTTTCATGTGTGTAAGGATGATTGCCAGTACTGGGTTGCAGCTGTAAGGGCATTCCCTGTATAAAACATATGCTGGAATAGTTGGTTCATTCCACTGTGGTGACCCCTGATAAATACGGAAGTAAGCTGAAGGAAAATTAATGACTGAATAAATGAATGAATGTTATAAAAGAATTAAGTTAAATAAATACTGTTCTATTAAATCCAAAAAATAAAGTACAGTTTCTACAAAAAAAAAAAAATTTTTGAACACCAAATCATCTTTCAGAGATCTTTTTGTTATAATAATTGTTTTATGCTAGAATGATTTCTGAAAACTGGAGCAATCTGATAAAAATTCAGCTTTTAATCATAGAAATTTAAATTAAAACTGTTTAAATATAAAATATAACAATATTATTGATGAAATCAAGTGTAGCTGTACTCCTTTAAAACCTTTACAAATTGTATTATTCCCAAACTATAATGCTTTAAAAATATTCTAAGAAATGAAAATAAAAAATGTTTTGTCCTGGACATTTGATTGGATGGTGCCATGGCAGCAAAACTAATTTATATTTACAATATGACATTCTTTTTAATTCCCACTTACAAGGCAACAATAACAGCAATTAAACATTTATTGTAATGCAGAATATGTTTTAGCTATGATCATTAAAGAATTTTGATCAAACTTATGTTTTTGTTTTGGTTGTTTTAATATATTTCTGTATATATTTAAAAAAATAAATATGTTAAATTACAATTTTTTTCCCAAGATAATATCAGCTGAACACAACTCTCATGCAATGCCGCTTTTTGAAATTTCCGTAGATTGTCACATAATATTACTGTCTATCCTGCTTCAAATAATAGTGGACTGTATAGAGTATATACTGTGAAATGAGTCATTAATCATTCCGAACACACTCTGACGGCAGGAAGAGGATGAAATATATTCACTTAGGGCTGAAAGAATAAGGAGCACTTACAGTAAAGCTATGCAAACTGAGCTGAAAGTGATGAAACACAGGTCCAGTTCTCCTCCCTGGTATAATTTATAAGCTCTCAGCTATATCTTCGGGTGACCATAGATCCCTGTTTTGCACGAAAAGTGCTATTTAGTGACCCTAAAGTGTTCCCTAAATGCAAATTACAAATAGCTGCCGCTTGTCAGTTCAGTTTTATTTGACCATCAGAGGGGTCATGAGCTAGACTTTTTAGTTTTTTTTCTTTTTATGTGTAGGATATTTACAACGTGTCAATTTAAGGTTTCCATGGCGACGCAAAGTTTATGACTTGGCAGGCCACAGACTGATGAATTATGTATAGATAGTTTTGTGTTTAATCTTAATAATTACATTGTAAAAACTCTCAAACTTTTGTCCATGTCCCCTAGTAATGATCATATTTTTGATGGATGATGGGTGATGGGCATTGCTATGCTAGCCTGCGTTCGAGTGGAGAGATTAGAGCTGCTAAATTTACAGCATGTTAATTCATCAACAACCCCTACTCTTCTTCAAAGGACATCCTGGGATTTTTAATGACCTCGGTTTAACGTCGCACCTGAAAGACGGCGCTCACTAAGCAGTATAGAGTCCCCGTCACTATACTGGGGCATTAGGACCTACACAGTCCACAAGTTGGGCACCCCCTGCTGGCCTCACTAACAGCTCTTCCGGCAGCAACCTAGCTTTCCCATGTGGTATCCCAACCAGGTACTGACCAGGCGCAGCCCTGCTTAGCTTCAGTGGGCGAGCATGTGAGAGTTGCAGAAAGCTAGCTGATTCATTTTGAATGGTGACACCCACAGAAATCATCACCAAATATAAATCAGAGGTAAGACTTTCTCATACAGAGCAATGGGCTTATACATTGTAGGCTTTACATTATAGAGAGAAATAACAGATAAAACAAGACTGCAGTTTAGTCAATTTCCTAACGGATAAACCACTCTCGTTAATAGTTCATTATGCTTTCACTTTCGTATTTGAAATAAAATGCACATTTACCAGTAGGAATGACATCCCACCTTACTCATAATTCTCTCTTTATATAGCCGTATATATGCCTATTACATATCCATAATACACTATGATATAGCCTGGTTTGTTAGTTTGTTGGATTGTATTGCTTTCTCACTACAATCGATCTGCTCCAGAGTTTGTTTCAATCGAGCCACGACCACCCCATTCAGGCAATCTCAGACCGATTGTTTTGGCGCGAATCCGAGCACGATTGCAAGTTCACCTATGCTAAACGAACTGCACTAATGGGGGAAATGCACCAGGTTCCGAAACAAAAGTCTAGGTGTGAAAGCACCCCTAAACAGTTGTGTTTAAAAAAATAATTTTTATCCTCCACAGACATCAGTGTTTAACTTACAAATCATAAGTCTTATGTTTTACTAATACTTATGTGTAGGCCCACAAGGAATCTGCGCGCACAGAAATCCGCAGATTTTTTATTAATAACTGAGTCAGTTTATTTACTTGTGTAAACTTATATTTAGTCAGTAGTTAAATTAATTACTGTTATATTATTGGGTTTTTAGTTGTGATGCTCCAAAAATAATTCTGCATAAATCTGCAAATTGTTACAATATTTTGCGCAGAAATATAGCAAAAGATATACTATACTTATGTGCATTTAAATGTCTGAATTTTAAAATATATGTATTTTGTTTAAAAACACTGGTAAATTGTGATTTATGACCAATGCTGTGCATATTTCTATATAATACTTGTATATTTCTCTTGCTGAGTGTAAATAATCACAGGACAGCAGATTTGAACTTAGCAGGACTTGTATGTTGTTATGTACGACAGAGGTTTCTATAATTAAGTGGCCTAACGTCCAAACCCATCCTGAATTATGTCAAAGCCAATACTATGTGGATAAATTAATGTTTAAAAGAAATGACCCAAAACAGTTTTGACAAAATGACACCTATTTGTTTTCCAAAACGACTGGAACAAAACATAAACAGCACTGATGTGGGCAAAGCCTGCAACACTTCATTACTTTCACTCTTTTACTATTTACTATGATTTATTTCTATATCGCTTTCCTGATGGGTACAATTTTGGCTTTCAATTGTGAACAATGTATTGGAAAAACAACCATGATAGCTTGATAAAAATCAGTTCAGATTCAGTAGTGTTGTAAACAACATTATCTATCTCTGCCAAGGGTCTTCTACACACCATGAATAATGCCCTGCATGAACACACAGCATAATGAAGACAGTGGCTTTTCCTGATGGATCTCGTATCTATAAGATGGATTTTTGTGTACGAGGTTGCAAACATTGGTTTCTTTTCTACAATATAGCATTTCTCAAAATGTACTTCACACATATGCATAATAACACACTGAAGTGTGAATCTGGTCCATTAGGGGGGAAAAATGCTTCATTAACCAAAGCAATTAACACTGAACCTGCCACGTGTATGAGGCACTTAATTTTGGATCTGAACTCACTCATCGAACCTGTGGATGTGATAACCCCTATTGTACAATGTAACATGGCCTGAACTTTGTGAAAGACTGTTTTGCGCACAAATTTAAACAATCATAATAGCTCGGCCATCACAATTATTTATTCATTCATTCATTTTCCTTCAGCGTAGTCCCTTATTATTAGGGGTCGCCACAGTGGAATAAGCTGCCAACTATTATGCAGTGAATGCCCTTCCAGTCACAACCCAGAACTGGGAAACATCACAAATATTATATACATTCAATTCTGGGACAATTTGAAATATCCCAATCCATGCTCTTATTTACAATACACTTGTTCTTAATACTGTTGTGATTGTAATATGGATTTGTAAGGTTATAAGTTGTTGCAATGTTTGATATGCTTGATATGCTATTTAAAAATTTTAACATGTTATTTTTTACATTTTACTAGAGGCAGTTGGATGTTACATATGGATGAAATAAAACAATGAAATAAAACAAAATCACATGCATATATATATATATATATATATATATATATGCATGTTTTTTGTTTTATTTTGTATATTTATATATATATATATATATATATATATATATATATATATATATATATATATATATATATATATATATAGTAAGTAAATACCATTAAATTCAAGCAAAATATTGCAAAAATAAATTACAACCTACACAATTTCAACAACACTTTTAAACTGTTAGCCTCTCTTGATGTTTCATCTCTTTTAAATTCTTATTTATTTTTTATATAACATTTGGGTGTACTAGTTTATATATATATATATATATATATATATATATATATATATATATATATATATATATATATATATATATATATATATATATATATATAATAAATGGACAATAGCAATATTTTTGCTAGTAGACTAGACAATATCCCCACATTTTATCTCAGAAATCTGGTCACTTATCTGCATTTCACACAGGCACCTGTTGAGGACCTATCAAATTGTTCACAATAACTCATAAATGTAAATATAAAAAGTAACTGTGTACAATTTCTCAGTCTGAATAGATGGATGGACTGAAAGATGGAGAAATCCTGCTAACCCACATTCCACTAATTTAAATCTGTCTTCGGAGCGGAAGGAAACTGGCACGGTAAACTCAAAGTCACCTACATGTAGTATTTGTGACCTACATCTTCTTCAGCAACCTAAAGTAAACTTATTAAACATACTAATCATAAACAATGTTAACTGACCGCTTCACAATAACAAATATTTACAACATTTCAACCTACATAAATCAATGATCAATCCAAATCAATATGTGAGTTTAAATAAAAAAAAAAGGTAAAAGATTTACCTTCAACCTCCTCCTGATCACACAAGGGTTTGAGCAGCGATGCCCCTCGGTCCAGCACGGCCTCATCCTCCACCCTGTAGTAGTAAAAGAGGAAGAAAGACTGCTCACATTTCTCTTCTAAAGACAACGTAGAGCCATAGCGGCGCGGCTCATTCACTTGCAGAGTGTTTCTGCTAGAACTAGCCATTTGCCCAAGTTAGCAGGTGCTGCTAACAAGGAGGAATCTCTGTAGTTGTGGATCCAGCCCTGGTTAGTAGATGTGTGGTGTAAGTTACAGGACTAGTTGTGAGGCTGCTGCCCTTGAGTGGCCACAAGAGCGGTCAGGTAGACATTGAGAGGGTAATCCGGTGTGTGGGGGAGGGGACGGGCTGGGCAGCCTAGTAAGATGATAATTGAGTCTGATGTGGAGGTGGTGTGAGCCAGGCTGCCACACACAGATTTCAGATCAGCTAATAATGCTAATACAACTAGTTACACGTGGGAGGAATAAACACTGAGCGTGGGCTGAAACGTTGTTTGTGACAATCGGATTTCTCCAGCTCATCTATTATACTCAAAAGCGATCCATGCCAGTTATGGGACATTATATACAGTACTTGATTTATTATACTAAAACTATAACCTATTCAGTCATGAGATGAGACAATTTGAAAGCAATTTTGTAAAATGCTGACATGCAAGTCATAAATTGTTTTTTATTTTTTTAAATTTATATTTAAAAAATCTAATAAACATACAAATGAATTCAAAGACATAAAAAAGGCAAATAAACTATTTAAATTAACTATAAAAATTAACAAATGTAATTAATAATATTAAAAAATATCACGTTTTATCATAAAATAATTTGTTTAACTAATTATTATTAATAGAATATTAAATTAAATTAAATTAAATTAAATTAAATTAAATTAAATTAAAATAAATTAAATAAATTAAATAAATTAAATTAAATTAAATTAAATTAAATTAAATTAAATTAAATTAAATTATTTTTCGGCTTAGTCCCTTTATAAATATGTGGTCGCCACAGCGGAATGAACCGCCAACTTATCCAGCACGTTTTTCGCACGTTTTTTTTGCCCTTCCAGCCACAACCCATCTCTGGGAAAAATCCACACACACACACTCATTCACACTCATACACTACGGACAATTTTAGCTTACCCAATTCACATACCGTATACCTACATATATTTGTTATGTGCGGATCAAAATAATGCAGAAAGCAAACATCAAACAAATATGCCCAATGGGCTCTATGCACAGCTAGAGTTTATAAAGTCAACGATAAACTTCCGGTCAAAGCTTAATGTGAGTATTTTCAATTTCACAAGGTTGTTTTTACAGCATAGATGTTGTAATGTAATTACAAAACATTCAGTTAAATAGACTTAAGCATCCATTTGGTTGTTCAAAAGTAAAACAAGATAAAAGACCATTGTAGCCTCTAGCACCGTCAGTAGCAACAGGTTAGCGCAGAAACTCTATTGAAAATACTGGGGTAAAACAAACTGTCATATTTTAAAGACATGACAGGGGGAATGGAATTTAATGCAGTGCTTCCTGTCTGATCTGAGACCACTTCATATCGTATATCTAACAGCCAGTGAAGATCACTGATTTTTAAAGAAATCAGATCTTAAACGAGACAATTTTGCAATGGAAGGACAGTTAACTTAAAGCCCTTGGGCTGCCTGGCTGAAAATTAAAAGTCTGTGTGCATATAGCCCATATACTGGATTGCTGGACTGAGAAGGATAAAAATCCGTAACAAGGCCAAAATGAACTCATTTCCTGTTTAATATTTTTTAAATAATAGGCGGACAGGGGGTACAGTATGTCATATATAATTTTTTATTGAGGTCATTTCACTGAAAAAAAGTTTTTTTATGAAAATAATAAACTTAAAATCAAATCAAAAAATCAAAAACTTCATACCTAGAGCTTAAACGTTTTAGTTAGCTAATAGAAAAACGTAAATACTTATCTACAAACTACATTGTAGATTAGTATTTACTACATTTTAAAGGAGGAAAAAAACAGCACTGAGGAAAAGTACAGTAGTTTATGTTTTTTATTTTTTTATCTCTATAGCTTAAACTGCAGGTTGAAATTGTAATGCATGTGAAAGGAATCCTGTACATTTTACTGTATGTACTGTGTTTTACAATTGAGAAAGCATGCATTTATTTGCCCACAGTGGACAGAAATAGTATTGCTCCTATAGCTAGATGTGACTCAGTAACTGCTCTTTGTCACTTTAGAAAAGAGTCCAAAGACCAGACTAAAATAATTCAGGCTTGGACAGGGATAAAGGTGAGTCTAAATGGGCACAATAAGTGGATTTGATGTTACTTGCTTTTATTATTTTCACTTCTAAAAATTATTCAAATCATCTAGATAATGAGTTCCTCTCTGGGATCTTTACAACATGAATTGTCACTGTGTGTTTACAAAATCATAAAAACAAACCAAAATGTAAACACAAACAGGAAGGATTGAGCTTGTTCCGCTGATAAGAGTCAGTGTCACTGTATATCTCAACAATAGATGCAATCAGGCATGCTGAAAAGATGCCAAGTTTAAAGGGACAGTTCACCTAAAAATCTAAGTTTCCTGCCCTTAAGTCTATATTTTACAAACCGTTTCTTTCTTATGTTGAACACAGAACAAAATATTCAAAGGAATGTTGGGGGGGTTGAAATTCATTGAAGGAATGATACAAATAGTATGGAAGTTAATGGCTTTTTTTCGCATTTTTATTCAGAAGCTCTTCCCGTGTCCAACAATAAATAAACTCAAACATGTTTGGAACAAGCAGAGGAGGAGTACATTTTTGTGTGATCTCTTTAAAGGAACACGTCACTTTTAAAGGAATGCCACAGCATTTTTAGCTTAGCTTAGCATAATGCAATGCCTATTTAAAGCTTAACTCGTCTGCAGCTACATTGTGTATAATCAACAGAAAATTAAAAGTTGCTTTTAATTTTCTAGGTTGATAAGGCTAGGAACTATACTATCAATCTGGTGTAATAGTCAAGGACCTTTGCTGCCTGATCATTGCTGCAGCAGGCATAATGATATTACACAGTCCTGAGCATTTGTTAAAGCACTGTGTAAAATCATTGTGCCTCCTGCAGCCATGGTAATATGTTTGTTATTGGTTTAGCTTATTTCTCTGGATTTGAGCACTCTTCAAGTACATACAGTTGGAGTCAGAATTATTAGCCCCCCTTTGAATTTCTTTTTTAAATATTTCCCTAATTATGTTTAACAGAGCAAGGAAATTTTCACAGTATGTCTGATAATATTGTTTTCTTTGGAGAAAGTCTTATTTGTTTTATTTTGGCTAGAATAAAAGCAGTTTTTAATTTTTTTAAACACCATTTTAAGGTCAAAATTATTAGCCCTTTAAGCTATTTTCTTCGATAGTCTACAGAACAAACCATCATTATACAATAACATGCTAAATTACCCTAGCCTGCCTAATTTTTCTAATTAACCTAGTCAAGCCTTTAAATGTCCCTTTAAGCTGTATAGAAGTGTCTTGAAAAATATCTAGTCACATAATTTTACTATCATCATGGCAAAGATAAAATAATTAGATATTAGACATGAGTTATTAAAACTATTATGTTTAGAAATGTCATGAAAAAAATCTTCTCTCTGTAAAAATTAAAGAACAGAACTTTTTCTGACCTGTACTTTTTTGACATATAAAATAGTTTGAAATAAGTGGCCATATTGAACTCCCTGATGAAAAATGGATAAAACTAAGTTGTTTTGAAAGATGGCAAGAAAGAACAAAAATTTTAAATGACAAAAGTATTTTGGGACTGGATGATGATTCTTAAATTGAACCTTTTAATCTGTGATCAAATAATGTTTTTAATATGACTGACAAGATTTTTTTTGGTGTACATATACTATTGATTTACCCAAAAACATCTTAGGCTTCTGTAAATGATGGGAAAAAATGAATTTAAATATTTTTCTTTTAAGAAAAATGTAATATAATAATATAGGATGCATTCTGATGCATATATGGGGAAAATAATATTATACTTTTGTTGTTTTGATGCTTGAATTCCACTGTTCTTGGTTACTAAATGCTCTAAAGTTAACATAGACACAAAAATGTAGTTAGAGATACATTTTACCAATGAATCTATGCAGCAATTCTGGCAAAAAAAAATGTGTAAAACATATTCGTAAATTATCGGTATTCCGCAGTTTATGATACATGCTTTTATTTTTTATTTTACCCAGTGTATTTATGCTTTTGAATTGCATTATGGGATCTTTCTTCCAACAACTTTAACCTTGAAAAGTAAAAAAAAAGTGACTTTTATTAACATGTTTAGTAGTTTAAAGTGATATATTGTCTGGGTTGGTGTTGTATATTATGGTGCAAACACTTTGTAATAAACTGTCAGTATTTTATGTTTTGTTATTTTACAGATTTATTTTTCTACATAATATTTATTTTATATTATATTATTTCAAACTGTTCACTGTGCTATATGCACACAGACTGTTCAAAATGTCAATAAATGTCACTTTCTTAATTTGTAGAAGTTGAATATTTAACATCATTAGTCGACAGAGGAGCGATCAAGCTCCCATAATGCAATTCACAAACGTAAATAATCTGGTAAACTCTTGTGAATCACAATACATGGAAACAGATCATTAACAGTTTATTACAGTGTAATACATTTACTCCAAAAATATATTTTACTTTTATGAATGTTAAAAGAGGGTGGTGCTGTGGTGCAATGGGTAGCGCTGTTGCCTCACAACAAGAAGGTCGCTGGTTCTCCCCGTGTTCGTGTGGGTTACCTCTGGGTGCTCCAGTTTCCCCCACAGTCCAAAGACATGCGCTATAGAATTGGGTAAGCTAAATCGTCCATAGTGTATGTATGTAAATGGGAGTGTATGGGTGTTTCCCAGTGATAGGTTGCAGCTCGAAGGGCATCTGCTGCGTAAAGCATATGCTGGATAAGTTGGCGGTTCATTCCGCCGTGGCGACCCCAGATTAATAAAGGGACTGAGCCAAAAAGAAAATGAATGAATGAATGAATGAATGAATGAATGAATGTTAAAGAACCTAACCCCCATTAGAAAAGCTATTTTACAGTGGTTTTACCCTTAGACCTGTTGTTAAACAGTAACCATGACACACACAGAGGTGTAAATTATTGTATAGCACTGGGTTATCCGTGACGTGTTATAATACTAGACGGTTGTTTAATAGGCCAGTGAATAGGTTAACACAAAGCGTGTTGGTATGACCATTTTTTTT